GAGAAATGTTTAGGGTGTAATAGGTTTTTAATAATTTTCGAAAATAAAATCAGATTTAAAAATAATGGCAATTTGGTAAATAAGTGGAAACATGAGGAGAGTTTAGGTTTTTTAAGAGTGAATAGTAATGGACAAAAAAAAAGAGGTTGGTTTTGTGTTTGACTTGAAATTTTAGGTTGGTTTTGCAAAAACCCCTATAATTAAAGTAATATAATATTATAATATAAATTAGACATATAAACTATAAATTAATTTAAAAATTAAAGTAAATATCAATCAATTATTATTGTATATTTATTTTATAAATATACATGTCCGTGCATGAGCACGGGAAAATCACCTAGTATTGTATTATATAAATATTCTTTTATACGTGTTCCTGTTATAAATTCATTGTGATGGTTTACGTACATAGATATGTAAAGGACAAATATATATGGGTTTCACACCAAAATATCAAAACTCATTGCAAAGGTAATTATGATTTCATAGGGTAAAAGAAAAGTGAAAACGATTATAAATTTTAAAACTTAACAAATCATCACACCGAAATATCAGAAAAGAAAAGTATAGTCACCGGGAACCAATTATATTATACTAGGGTCGGCCCGGGCTACGCCCGGGTTTTTTGCTTAAATTTAATTTTGATTATATATTTAGTGTGTTTATTTTATTTATAATATTATAAAATATAAATAACTAAGCAATCATAAAATCATATTAATTTTTTTTTTGTTTTATGCATTTCAAAATTTTTACTATCCTTTTTTATTGGAAGTTATATATAACATGATAATTAGAATAAACAAAAAATATTAATTTATAGTTATGGTGTTTAATTGGTTGAACTGTATAAATGTTCCAACTTTCATTTCACTAAAAACTGTCAATAAATTTTGTTTCAAGGTAGTTTAATGACCCTCCCTTTAAATCTATAACCCTATATTTTTATGTTTTACTTTTTCTTAAAAAAAAATCAGAGGTTTAATTTTTTTTATTTTAGATAAGAAAACTTCAACTAATCGGATCCATTATCTAGATCTTCGTTATCTACTTATCTTAATTATATAAATTTGATGTATAATATTATAAATTGTATAACCAATTAAATTGATTCATCAAATAATAGTGACAAAATGATTTGGAGATATAATTGTAGATCTTTGTAACGTTATGTCTAATTTGGTGGAGTGAAAGTCGAGTTAAATTATTTGTTGCAAGTCATAGTTTTGTACTTGATGATTTATAATTTATAACTAATGATTGTTACTACTACTTTAAAATAATGATGGATACATTAAAAGTGGGTAAATACTGTTTTGATTAGTGTGTTTTGTCATTCAGTTTCTTCTTTTCCCAAGGTTGAATTCTTAGATAGTTGTTTTTTCTTTTCAAAGATAATATCTTTTAAGTAATTTTCTTTTGTTTGGTGTGTCTCTAGGCTCATCATACAGAAAGATTATTTTGTTTTTATGGTAAATTGTTTTATAATAATTAATTGAACTATTTTGTAATTGTAGCTTTATCTTAAGTATAACTAACTCATACAAAATAGTTGTGTGTATGAATGAATTTAATGTACATTTTCAGAATGAACTGTGATTAATGTAATTACCATTATTTATATTTATATTTATATTTAACGTGGAACTATCGTTGAAAAATAAGTGTTTACTTAAAAAAATTGTCAAACCTTCATTTTATTGTTTTTGTAATGAATATACTTTTTGTTATATTAGCTGATTTTATTATTTGCATGTTAGTTAGTACGTAGATTTGTTATCGCGGGAGCTTTATATGGATTAACACTCTTCTTTTTTTAAATAAGTTGAACACTACTTTTTACCAAACCTACTAGTTGTATATTTTGGGATTTGTAAAAAAAAAGTAATCTTATTTTCTTTTCTCCTACTAATTGCATATATTGAATTTGTAAAAAAGGTTATCTTATTTTCTTTTATCTGGTTTTTTTTATATCCGAAACATTGATTTAGTTTAATAGAAACAAAAAATATTATACCTAAGCCTCCTATTAATAAAAATATAGAATTTAGCGATATTTTTAAGCATCTGGAAACTGAAAAGAAAAGGACACTGATTTTCATCAAATACTTTCCCCAAAGAAATCATATTATCTAACTTACTCACCGTTCTCCCTATATTAGTGGGTTCCAAGTCAATGGCTATTTAAAATTAAACAGATGTAAATAAATGGTTAATTAGTTAGTTTTAATTTAATTAAATTTTTTTTTTTAGAAAAATAATCCAGATATCTTATTTGTTTAACCAGATAACAGGTTTGATTGGTAATGACTCTAATTTTAAAATTTTTGCTCTAAGATTAAAGCTTTGAATTGTTTTACTGTGGCTCTAAAACTAAAAGTTTGGAAAGCACATAAATATTTCTCTAGGATTTTGTCTTTCTACAGCGCACACACACACATACGTAAAGATTTCAAAGGCTGTGAGTTTCTAAAAATTAATTAAGGGTGATTGCTGTAGGTTTAAGGATTTATTAAAATTAATGAAAGATGATTGATGTAGATATAATTTTTGCAGTGGACAGCATCTACAGCAGATACCAATCATGCTCAATGTGGGTTCAGCAAAATTTATTTTAATTAGATCATAACCATAACTTTAAACTACTGGCATTCAATACAGGGTGATAGAAGTAAAAATATTATTTTGTTGATCGAATAAGTTGTGAACATATAAGACTAAACCAAAAGTTACTTTTGAAAAATAAGAGAAGAAACCAAGCTTGATAGAAAGCAGGAGGCATGTGCATTTGCTAACTTGAGCAGCTAGGCCTTGCGTGTCTTCTTAAGTGCGTAACATGTATGGTCTCTGAAAATTATCTGGTATTTTGACTGTTAATGCTCCAGATTGTTCAACTTCTCCTGTAAAATTCGACCCAGCAATCATTATTTTCTGAAATTTATTGATTGTCTGCAAAAGGAAAAAACTTACATTTTGTAAGGCATCAAGCTTTCTCTGTATAGCTTCATGCTCAGCTCGAAGCCAGAAAGGAA